AAAAACAAAAGCACTAAATAAAAAAATAAAAACAAAAAAAATAAAATAAAATTATAGAAAAACAAAAACACTAAATGAAAAAAAAAAAAAAAAAAAAAACCCCACACTCTAGTAAAATAAGAACTTTTTTTTTTTTTTTTGCAAATTTTGCTTCAGCAACAAAAAATAACTGGGAAAAATATCTCCATTGACAAAAAAAAGTATTTTTGGGAAAGTAAATATCCTCTGAATCCATCAGTCATATGGAGTCTTCTTGAACCTCAGTGAGCTTTGTTTATTTCTTCCAGATCTGGGCACTAATACCGGCCATACATGGATCAAAATTCGACCGATTTTCCATCCGAAAATCGGACCTAAGAATAATCGGACGATTTTCGCTCTGTTAGTGGGGTCAATGGCACCGGCCGATTTTCGAGCTTCATCCCCTTTTCGGTGATCGGGCTTGTTGGAAAATTCATGAAAAACTACCAATTTTTGACTCAATGATGGTCAAATCGTACGATCGTTTTTCCGAAAAGAATATGCGCCATGAGCCGTGACCTGGAAGGAACAGAAGATTCGCCTGTTATATGGGGGGAACTTTATGACTCGGTCGACCGATTACCGAGCGAACGACTTTTTCGATTTTCGGACAAAAAAATAGTTTGGAATGCGAACCATGTATGGCCTGCATAAGCCAGTGTGAGACTTCCTGGAATAAAGACCACTCACTGCTGCTCTCTCTCCTTGTGCAGGGTGACTGGTCTTGTCTCCGCCCCCTCCTGTAGTTTTCTGTAGTGGGTGGAGTCTGATGGGCCCCTCCCACAGCTCTGCTCTCTCTTTCTCCTTGTGCAGGGTGATTTGTCTCGTCTCCACCCCCTCCTGTAGTATTCTGTAGTGGGTGGAGTCTGCTGGGCCCTCCCACAGCTCTACTCTCTCTTTGTACACGGTGACTGGTCTTGTCTCCGCCCCTCCTGTAGTTTTCTGTAGTGGGTGGAGTCTGATGGGCCCCTCCCACAGCTCTGCTCTCTCATTGTGCAGGGGGACTGGTCTCATATCTGCCTCATCCTGCAAGCAGTCTGTAGGTGGGTGGGGCCTGCTGGGCCCTTCCCACTTCTGCTATTTTTCCTTGTGCAGGGGGACTGAGCTTGTCTCCACCTGCTTCTTGTAGTTTTCTGTAGTGGGTGGAGTCTGCTAGGCCCCTCCCACAGCTCTGCTCTCTCTCTCTCTCCTTGTGCAGGGGGACTGGTCTTGTCTCCACCCCCTCCTGTAGTTTTCTGTAGTAGGTGGAGTCCGCTGGGCCCCTCCCACAGCTCTGCTCTCTCTCCTTGTGCATGGGGACTGGTCTCGTCTCCGCCCCATCCTGCAAGCAGTCTGTAGGTGGGTGGGGCCTGCTGGGCCCTTCCCACTTCTGCTCTTTTTCCTTGTGCAGGGGGACTGAGCTTGTCTCCACCTGCTTCTTATAGTTTTCTGCAGTGGGTGGAGCCTTCAAAGCCCCTCCCACAGCTCTGCTCTCTGTACAGGCTACAATGTCACTTTTGCAAGATAATATCTGTGTTTGCATGGCAGCTTGGCGCACACAAAGTGGATATTAAGGAATATCATTGCTGTGCCCGGGGTTCAGCTTTAATATATTATAGAAGTCGATTATGTTCGGTCATTAATATTCATTGATATAGATCAGCGCACGCACTTAAAAACTCATTAAACATTTATAGATCAATCAAAAGAATACAAAACATGAATAATCATTCCCAGAAGGCTACACTGTAACACAGCAAAAATAAAACAAATAAAAAAATCGAATTAGAAGAGCCGCAGTTCCAGTGACACCCCACAATGGACATATGAGATGGCCATGACTGTGTGAGCACCTCCCTAATCCATGGAGTTCGGGTGTCTCCAGTGAAGGGTTCTGGTAATACCACATCGTACAAAGACATTGGTGGGCTCTTCCAACTTTGGGTGTCTCCAGTGAAGGGTTCTGGTAATACCACATCGTACAAAGACATTGGTGGGCTCTTCCAACCTGGGGGTCACAGTTTGGTGAAGACCCTTTTCTGTTCCACCATGACTGTCCCCTGTGTACAGAGCCAGCTCCATAAAGACATGGATGACCAGCTTGGTGTGGAGGAACTTAAATGTCCCCCACAGAGCCCCATCCTAAACACTACTGAACACCTTTGGGAGGAACTGGAACACCAATGGTGAGCCAAGTCTTCTCATCCAACATCAGTACCTGACCTCATAAATGGGCACAAATTCCCAGACACCCTCCAAAATCTTATTGAAGGTCTTCTCGGAAGAATGGAGGATGTAATAGTCACAAGGAGGGGACAACTCCATATTATTGGCCATGGGGGAGGACAACTCCATAATATTGGCCATGGGGGAGGACAACTCCATAAAAATAGCCATGGGGAGGACAACTCCATAATATTGGCCATGGGGGAGGACAACTCCATAAAAATAGCCATGGGGAGGACAACTCCATAATATTGGCCATGGGGGAGGACAACTCCATAAAAATAGCCATGGGGAGGACAGCTCCATATTATTGGCCATGGGGGAGGACAACTCCATAATAATAGCCATGGGGAGGACAGCTCCATATTAATGGCCATAGAGGAGGAAAACTCCATATTAGTGGCCATGGGGGAAGACAGCTCCATATTAGTGGCCATGAGGGGAGAATAACTCCATATTAATGGCCACGGTGGGAGAACAACTCCACATTAATGGCCACGGGGGAAGAACAACTCCACATTAATGGCCACGGGGGAAGAACAACTCCACATTAATGGCCACATGGGGGAGAACAACTCCACATTAATGGCCACGGGTGGAGAACAACTCCACATTAATGGCCACATGGGGGAGAACAACTCTACATTAATGGCCACATGGGGGAGAACAACTCCATATTAATGGCCATGGTAGAGGACAACTCCATAATAAAAACCATGGTGGAGGAAAACTCCATAATAATAGCCATGGGGGGGACAGCTCCATATTAATGGCCATGGGGGGGGGGGGGCAGCTCCATATTAATGGCCATGGGGGGAAGACACCTCCATATTAATGGCCATAAAGGAGGAAAACTCCACATTAGTGGCCATGGGGGGAGAACAACTCCATATTAATGGCCAGTGGAGAGGACAACTCCATATTAATACCTATGGGGGAGGACAACTCCATAATAATAGCCATGGGGAGGACAGCTCCATATTAATAACAATGGGGGGACAGCTCCATATTAATGGCCATGGGGGAAGACAACTCCATATTAGTGGCCATAGAGGAGGAAAACTCCATATTAGTGGCCATGGGGGGGGGAGAACAACTCCATATTAGTGGCCATGGGAGGAGAACAACTCCATATTAATGGCCACGGGGGAAGACAACTCCATATTAGTGGCCATAGAGGAGGAAAACTCCATATTAGTGGCCATGAGGGGAGAACAACTCCATATTAGTGGCCATGGGGGAGAACAACTCCAGATTAATGGCCACGGGGGGGAGAACAACTCCACATTAATGGCCACATGGGGGAGAACAACTCCACATTAATGGCCACATGGGGGAGAACAACTCCATATTAATGGACACATGGGGGAGAACAACTCCATATTAATTGCCACAGGGGGAGAACAACTCCATATTAATGGCCATGGTGGAGAACAACTCCATAATAAAAACCATGGTGGAGGACAACTCCATAATAATGGAAATGGGAGAGGACAACTCCATAATAATAGCCATGGGGGGGAACAGCTCCATATTAATGGCCATGGGGGGGAAGACACCTCCATATTAATGGCCCTAGAGGAGGAGAATTCCACATTAGTGGCCATGGAGGGAGAACATCTCCATATTAATGGCCATTGGGGAGGACAACTCCATATTAATACCTATGGGGGAGGACAACTCTATATTAATGACCACGGGGTAAGGCAACTCCATATTATTGGCCATGGGGGAAGACAACTCCGTAATAATGGCCATGGGGGAGGACAACTCCATAATAATGGCCATGGGGGAAGACAACTCCATAATAATAGCCATGGGGGAGGACAACTCCATAATAATGGCCATGGGGGAGGACAACTCCATAATAATGGCCATGGGGGAAGACAACTCCATAATAATAGCCATGGGGAGGACAACTCCATAATAATGGCCATGGGGGAAGACAACTCCATAATAATGGCCATGGGGGAAGACAACTCCATAATAATGGCCATGGGGGAAGACAACTCCATAATAATATCCATGGGGGAGGACAACTCCATAATAATGGCCATGGGGGAGGACAACTCCATAATAATAGCATGGGGAGGACTACTCCATATTAATAGCAATGGGTGGACATCTCCATATAATTGGCCATGGGGGAAGACAACTACATATTAACAGTCGTAGAGGAGGACAACTACAAATTAATGGTCATGAGAGAAGATAACTCCATATTAATGGCCATGGGGGAAGACAACTCCATATTAAATGGTCATAGAGGAGGACAACTACATATTAATTAAAGAAGGATTCTTCCCCGACTCCCTGGAGTGGAAGACCCCTGACCTGGGCAAGGCACACAATCCAAAAGGCCTGGTGGACCCCGCTCCTCATAATCAGCTAATGCCGACCAACAAGTACTCTTCTCCTGAAGAGAGACCCCCCTGAGGTCATGAGGAAGGACCTGATGGCCACACATTCTCACTACACCTCAGCTCACTTCAGCAAGCCCCAACATCTCACCCATTCCATCCCAATAATCTCTCGGCTCAACTCCCTGCATCTAATGACCACTTTAAAATCAGCTCCCCCTCATACTGCCTGCCTTCATACCCTCTACACGTCTCTTCTGCACATACTGCTCACTGTCATAACCTCCTCACTCCTCCGTGCAAGCCCCCAACATCAACAAAGCAATGACCCCTTGGAGAGGCAAAAAACAAAAGATGTTGAAGACCTTTTCCCAAAAAAACAAAAAAAAGGAATCAGCTGCCTTCATCACCCACCTTCCAGAGATGAGAAGGGACAGGCGGTCAATGGGCGTCTTTCCCTCCAAGGCATAACTCTGGTCGGCACTCAGGGAATGGACCTCCATCCCGCTACAGTGGGCGATCTCCTTGAAGACATCCAATGGAACCTGCATAGGCTGGTAGAGGGTTTGGTACAGAGCGTCATAGTCTTCTCCATAGGACTCCCTATGTAATCTGTATATCAGATGTCCAATCTGCACCAGGCAGAGCACCATCAGGATGCCGTTCCAGGTGACAATGTCCACGCCACAGACGAACAGGTAACCCCACAGCGCCATTAAACAGAACGAGACCGCCATTACCCCAAAGACGTAGATGCAGCCAAGGATTCCACTGCCACCCATGACCGCCAACAGGAAGATCAAGCAGGCCAGGTGGTAGAGTGCCCCTTCCATGTAGGTTTTCCATCCCACACAATCTGGGGCATGGAAGAGCTGCTCCGCCAGGGTGCTGTTTGCCGCCATACTTCTGGTTGCGCTGCCTGCTACACCTGGGGAAGAAGAAGACAACATGGTCACTGGATACAGGAAGTTGATATGTATGGAGATCTAAAGCATTACGATACTCAAAGACACAACAGTAGTAATTTGCCTTTAAAAAAAGTTTTGCCTGCAAAGACAGTTACTGGCCCTGCCAACTGCACTATCGATCTTCATATCCGAAGAACCTCCGGCACTTGCCACGTACGGGAGCGTTGGAGTCCCCATCTGAGCAACAAGGCCTGGATCTAGAGGAGTGCTGGGGTGGCCTGTGCCTCCCTTTCCCAGTCTCTAAGAGTGCATTCAATGAGCCATGAGGCACTCTGTTGGGGACACGTGATGTTAGGGGGTACTCTGTTGGGGACACGTGATGTAAGGGGGTACTCTGTTGGGGACGCTGATTTAAGAAGGGACTCTGATGGGGACACGTGATGTAAGGGGGAACTCTGATGTGAACAGTTGATGTAAGGGGGCGCTCTTTTGGGTACAACTGATGTAAGGGGGCACTCTGATGGGTACAACTTAAGAAGGGACTCTGATGGGAACATTGATGTAAGGGAGCACTCTGTTGGGGACACATGATGTAAGGGGGCACTCTGTTGGGGACACATGATTTAAGAGGGCACTCTGATGGGGATATTGATTCAAGGGGGCACTCTGTTGGGGACACATGATGTAGAGAGGGCGCTCTGATGGGGACACATGATGTAAGAGGGCACTCTGATGGGGACATTGATTTAAGGGGGCACTCTGATGGGGACACATGATGTAAAAGGGAACTCTGTTGGGGACACATGATGTAAAAGGGCACTCTGATGGGGACATTGATTTAAGGGGGCACTCTGTTGGGGACACATGATGTAAGAGGGCACTCTGTTGGGGACATTGATTTAAGGGAGCACTCTGTTGGGGACATTGATTTAAGGGGCACTCTGTTGTGTCCAACCCACCTGCAAGTGTTGCATGCTGATTTTTAACCTGTTCCTGCTGGCGTCACGCATATACAGCAGATATTTGGCAGCAGTACAGGTGAACCCAACGCCGGCCTGCCACATATATGCATCTATGGGGTACTGCTGTTCTAAAAGTACGCTCATTGCATGCTCCCAGCACATTGGCTGAGCTGTCACTGACAGCTCCTAGTCAGCACATACAATTGAGAGCTGATGGGATGGCTGCTGATCATAGGGCCACTGTGTACCAGTTCCTCCCCTTCAGTCTTGCACAGGTGTACCGCCTCCTCCCCTTCAGTCTTACACAGGTGTACCGGCTCCTCCCCTTCAGTCTTGCACAGGTGTACCGGCTCCTCCCCTCCAGTCTTGCACAGGTGTATCGGCTCCTCCCCTTCAGTCTTCCACAGGTGTATCGGCTCCTCCCCTTCAGTCTTCCACAGATGTATCGGCTCCTCCCCTTCAGTCTTCTACAGGTGTACTGGCTCCTCCCCTTCAGTCCTGCACAGGTGAACTGGCTCCTCCCCTTCAGTCCTGCACGGGTGTATGGCTCCTCCCCTTCAGTCTTGCACAGCTGTACCGGCTCCCCCCCTTCAGTCTTGCACAGCTGTACCGGCTCCCCCCCTTCAGTCTTGCACAGCTGTACCGGCTCCTCCCCTTCAGTCTTGCACAGCTGTACCGGCTCCTCCCCTTCAGTCTTGCACAGCTGTACCGGCTCCTCCCCTTCAGTCTTGCACAGCTGTACCGGCTCCTCCCCTTCAGTCTTGCACAGCTGTACCGGCTCCCCCCCTTCAGTCTTGCACAGCTGTACCGGCTCCCCCCCTTCAGTCTTGCACAGGTGTATCGGCTCCTCCCCTTCAGTCTTGCACAGGTGTACGGCTCCTCCCCTTCAGTCTTGCACAGGTGTACCGGCTCCTCCCATTCAGTCTTGCACAGGTGTACCGGCTCCTCCCCTTCAGTCTTGCACAGGTGTATCGGCTCCTCCCCTTCAGTCTTGCACAGGTGTACCGGCTCCTCCCCTCCAGTCTTGCACAGGTGTATCGGCTCCTCCCCTTCAGTCTTGCACAGGTGTACCGGCTCCTCCCCTTCAGTCTTGCACAGGTGTACCGGCTCCTCCCCTTCAGTCTTGCACAGGTGTACCGGCTCCTCCCCTTCAGTCTTGCACAGGTGTACCGGCTCCTCCCCTCCAGTCTTGCACAGGTGTACCGGCTCCTCCCCTTCAGTCTTGCACAGGTGTACCGGCTCCTCCCCTTCAGTCTTGCACAGGTGTACCGGCTCCTCCTATTCAGTCTTGCACAGGTGTACCGGCTCCTCCCCTTCAGTCTTGCACAGGTGTACCGGCTCCTCCCCTTCAGTCTTGCACAGGTGTACCGGCTCCTCCTATTCAGTCTTGCACAGGTGTACCGGCTACTCCCCTCCAGTCTTGCACAGGTGTACCGGCTCCTCCCCTTCAGTCTTGCACAGGTGTACCGGCTCCTCCCCTTCAGTCTTGCACAGGTGTACCGGCTCCTCCTATTCAGTCTTGCACAGGTGTACCGGCTCCTACCCTTCAGTCTTGCACAGGTGTAGCGGCTCCTCCTATTCAGTCTTGCACAGGTGTACCGGCTCCTCCCCTCCAGTCTTGCACAGGTGTATCGGCTCCTCCCCTTCAGTCTTGCACAGGTGTACCGGCTCCTCCTATTCAGTCTTGCACAGGTGTACCGGCTCCTACCCTTCAGTCTTGCACAGGTGTACCGGCTCCTCCCCTGGACTGAAGCAGCTTCCTCTGATGTCACCGCACACTGGGAGCGTCTCACAATGTGTATTAGAAGCTGCAGCCAGTCAGATAAGGCTCCGCCTCATTTCCTGGCTGGAGGACGTCCAGCATCATCTAGCTCTTTTTCTATTTAAAAAAAAAAAAAATCTATAACAGATATTCGGGGATGGGGCAAGGGGTGGGCAGTAGGGCCAGCCGCCCAGGGCTCACAGAATAGGGAGGGGGGCAGAGAATGGGTGCACTCATTCTACAACATGCATTAGTAGTGGGGGAGGGGGCGCTGGATGGACCTGTCCCGGTGCTGCACTTATTTGCTGTGAGAGCCTTGAATGACTGAAAGCTGAATTCCTACATACCAGCCAGACAGAACACCCAGGAGGGTGACACCATTCCTCTGGTAGATTTAGAAATCCTGTGGTGTCACCTTCCCTCCAGCGGCAGCAGCAGCAGGAAAGCTTTATGACTCCTCCTTCCCAGTGATCACTCACTCAGACTGTACATTGTAACTTTCCAGCACATCAGTAGCAGAGTCCGATCTGTGTCACCCCACGCAGCCAAGAACCCTAAAGAGGTTCTAAAACCCTTCCATACACCCAGGGAAGTGACCGGCCTCAGAGCTGAAACACATCCTCCTACATAAAGTTGTACCTGTGTATCTGAGATATTCAAAAATGCAGCTTGTCTGAGCTTTCAGAAAGTTACACTTTGCAGAGCTCAGTGAGAGCTGATGGGAGGGGGGGAAAAAGGAGAAAAGAGAAGAAAGAAAAGGGGAAGAGAAGAAAAGGGAAGAGAAGAGATGGGAAGAGGAGAAGGGAAGGGAAGAAAGAGAAGGGAAGGGAAGGGAAGAGAGAAGGGAAGAGAAGGAAGGGAAAGAAGGGAAGAGGAGAAGAGGAAAGAGAAGGGAAGGGAAGGAGAAGAGGGAAGGAAAGAGAAGGAAGGGAAGGGAAAAAAAGAAGGGAATCTACGAAGGAAGGGAAGAGAAGAGAAGGAAGGGAAGAAGGAAGAGAAGGGAAGGAAGGGAAGAGAAGGGAAGGGGAAGAGAAGGGAGAGAAGGGAAGGGAAGAGAAGGAAGGGAAGGGAAGGCAAGGGGGAAGGGAAAAGAAGGAAGGGCAGGGAAGAGAAGGAAGGGAAGAAAAGGGGAAGGGGAGGGAAGGGAAGAGAAGAGAAAAGGGAAGAGAAGGAAGGGAAGAGAAGGAAGGGAAGAGAAGGAAGGGAAGAGAAGCATAAGGGAAGAGACTAAGGAAGGGAAGTAAGAGAAGAAGGAGAGAGAAGAAGAAGAAAGAGAAGGGAAGGGAAGGGAAGAAAGGGAAGAGAAGGGAAGAGAAGGAAGGGAAGGCAGGAAAGGGTCCAGAAGGGAAGAAGAAGGAAGAAGGAAGATGGGAAGAAGGAAGGAGTTCCAGCCCCGAAGGGAAGGAAGAGCAGGAAGGGAAGAGAAAGGAGGGAAGGAAGAGAAGAGAAGAGAAGAAGGAATGAAGGAAGAAGAAGGAAGGGAAGAAGGGAAGAAGGAATTGGAAGAGTGAGAGAGGGAGGATTCCGGGAGAAGCGAAGATAAGGAAGGGAAAGAGGGAAGGGAAGGGAAGAGAAGTAAGGAAGGAAGAGAAGGTAATTAAAGGGAAGAGAAGGAAAGCGGAAGGGAAGGGAAGGGAAGAGAAGGAGGGAAGGTAAGAGGAAAGGGAAGAGAAGGGAAAGAGAATGGAAAAGAAGGGAAGAGAGCGGATATAAGGAAGAAGGGAGGAGAAGGTGAGAAGGAAGGAAAGTGAAAGGGAAGAGAAGGAAGAGAAGGGAAGAAGGAAGAGCGCGGGCGGGGGAAGAGAAGGGGGTCCGAGAGAAGAGAAGGGATATAGTACAAGAGAAGAGAAGGAAGAGAAGGAAGGGAAGGAAGGGAAGAGAAGGGAAGAGGAAGAGGAAGGGAGAATGCGGTGAAGGAAGGAGAGAAGGAAGGGAAGGGAAGGAGAAGGAAGGGAAGGAAAAGGGAAAGCTAGGGAAGAGAAGGAATTGGGAAGGAAAGGGAAGGGAAGAGAAGGGAAGGGAAGAGAATAGGGAAGAGAAGGAAGGGAAGAGAAGGAAGGGAAGGAAGAGAAGGAAAGAGAAAGGAAGGGAAGTGAGAAGGGAAGGGAAGAAAGGGAAGAGAAGTGAAGGAGAAAAGGGAAAGAAGGGGAAATAGAGGAAGAGAGCGGACTAAAGGGAAGAGAAGGAAGAGATAGTCCGTCCCTAGTTGGAAGAGAGGAAGGGAAATGAAGGAAGGGAAGAGAAGGAAGGGGAAGATTGAAGGCTGAAAG